GCAACCTTCAACCAGTGAAGAGGAACAAACAGATGTCAGCTACCCATCACTGTAGGGAAAATCTTGGCTGCCTTCTGCACTTTTCTCAGAAGGCGTCCAGAGAAATAGAGCCCTAGTGGACCACCACTAAGCCCAGTTCATCCACACACTCAGTTCTGTTCTTGCCTTTTCTCCTTTTCCCATCTCAGTCTCCTGACCTCTGCCTTCAGGCATCAGCTCCTTCTCTCAGGGTATACTCTCAGAAGCAGGAGCACCCAAAGATGTTAGTGACCATCTCTTTGCATGTATTTTACATATACATTCAATAATAAGCCTATTTAATTTTGCATAAAGGGGATCATTCTACACGTGTGTTCTAAAACCTGCTTTTTAAAAAGTTACTCACAGTAGGTAGTAAATATATTTTCATACCAGTAAATAAAATCCTAAACACAACTCATATAGCATGCTGTTGCAAGTGCTCTCATCATTTAATTTACTTAACTTAGGGACATTAGATGATTTCTAATTTTGCACTGTGATGAAAATTCTTGTGCACATATCTTTGCAAGTGTATAGGATGCCTCCTTTGAAAAAATTCTGTGATGTCTGATCACTTTACTGTCTTCTAATTCAGCAAAAACAAGACCTGGAGCTGACTGTGTCTCAGATCATCAGCTTGTTATTGCAGAATTCAGACTTAAATTGAAGAAGGTAGGGAAAACCACTAGGCCATTCAGGTATGACTTAAATCAAATCCCTCATGATTATACAGTGGAAGTGACAAATAGATTGAAGGATTAGATCTTGTAGACGGAATGCCTGAAGAACGATGGATCGTAACAATGTACAGGAGGCAGTGACCAAAAGCATCCCCAAGAAAAAGAAATGCAACCAGTCAAAATGGTTGTCTGAGGAGACCTTACAAATAGCTGAGAAAAGAAGAGAAGCAAAAGGCAAAGGAGGAAGGGAAAGATATACCCAGCTGAATGCAGAGTTCAAAGAATATAAAGGAGAGATAAGAAAGCCTTCTTAAGTGAACAATGCAAAGAAAGAGGAAAACAATAGAATGGGAAAGGCTAGAGATCTCAAGAGAATTAGAGATACAAAGGGAATGTTTTATGCAAAGATGGACACAATAAAGGACAGAAACAGTAAGGACCTAACAGAAACAGAAGAGATTAAGAAGAGGTGGCAAGAATACACACAAAAAACTGTACAAAAAAGATCTTAATGAACCAGATAACCATGATGGTGTGATCACTCACCTAAAGCCAGACATCCTGGAGTGTGAAATCAAATGGGCCTTAGGAAACATTACTACACACAAAGCTAGCAGAGGTGATGGAATTCCAGCTGAGCTATTTCAAATCCTAAAAGATGATGCTATTAAAATGCTGCACTCAATACACCAGCAAATTTGGAAAACAGCAATGGCTATAGGACTACAAAAAGTCAGTTTTCATTCCAATCCCAAAGAAGGCCAATGCCAAAGACTGTTCAAACTACCAGATAATTGCACTCATTTCACATGGTAGCAAGGTAATCCTTCAAATCCTTCAACAGTAAGTGAGCTGAGAACTTCCAGGTTTATAAGCTGAATTATAGAAAAGGCAGAGGAACCAGAGATCAAATTGCCAACATCTGTTGGATCATAGAAAAAAAGCAAGAGAATTCCAGATAAACATCTACTTCTGCTTCACTGACTATGCTAAAGCCTTTGACTATGTGGATCACAACATAGTGATCTGTGGACAATTCTGAAAGAGATAGGAATATCAGACCACCTTATCTGCCTCCAGAGAAATCTGTATGCAGGTCAAGAAGCAACAGTTAGCATGGAACATGGAACAATGGACTGGTTCCAAATGGGGAAAGGAGTATGTCAAGGCTGTATATCGTTACCCTACTTATGTAACTTATATAGAGGGTTGCTGCTAAGTCACATCAGTCGTGTCTGACTCTGTGTGACCCCAAGGACGGCAGCCCACCATGCTCCTCTGTCCCTGGGATTCTCCAGGCAAGAATACTGGAGTGGGTTGCCATTTCCTTAAAATGCTGGACTGCATAAATCACAAGCTGGAATCAAGATTGCTGGGAGAAATATCAATAACCTCAGATGTACAGATGACACCACCCTTATGGCAGAAAGCAAAGAGGAACTAAAGAGTGTCTTGATGGAGGTGAAAGAGGAGAGTGAAAAAGCTGGCTTAAAACTCAACATGCAAAAAACGAAGATCATGGCATCCAGTCCCATCACATCATGGCAAATAGGTGGGGAAACAATGGACACAATTACAGACTTCATTTACTTGGGTTCCAAAATCATTGCAGACAGTGACTGCAGCCATGAAATTAAAAGATGCTTGCTCCTTGGAAGAAAAGCTATGACAAAATCAGCCATCATATTAAAAAACAGAGACATTACTTTGCCAACTTAGGTCTGTATAGTGAAAGCTATGGTTTTTCCAGTAGTCATGTACAGATATGAGAGGTGGACCATAAAAAAAGGCTGAGTGCCAAAGAACTGATGCTTTTGAACTGTGGTGCTGGAGAAAACTCTTGAGAGTCCCTTGGACTACGAGGAGATCAAACAAATCAATCCTAAAGGAAATCAACCCTGGATATTCATTGGAAGGGCTGATGCTGAACCTGAAGTTCCAATACTTTGGCCACCGGATGCAAAGAACTGACTCATTGGAAAAGACTCTGATGCTGGGGGTGATTGAGGGCAGGAAGAGAAGGGGACGACAGAGGATGAGATAGTTGGATGTCATCACTGACTCAACGGACATGAGTTTGAGCAAACTCCAGGAGATAGTGAAGGACAGGGAAGCCTGGAATGCTGCAGTCCAAGGGGTCACAGAGAGTCGGACATTACTTAGTGACTGAACAACAAGTGTTCACTAAGTGTTTGATAATTTATTCTGAAATTTTAAATACAGGTCAATACTTTTCTTAGCAGTTTAGGGCTTGTTTTTGATTTACCCTTTCTTCCTTTCTGAAAATCAGGATATTTGCCCATCTTCAGTCTTCTGGCACTTTATTCTCTGTCATTTCCTCTAAGGCAAAGATTACATCGGAGAATGCCTCCAGGTCCCTCGTATGTTATTTGTATGAGCTTAGATTATATGTGGCTTGATGCCTTATCCAATCACTTACCTTGGGTTTCAATCTCCCCCTTATGTCCCTCATTTCACCATTTGAAAAGTAAAATTGCCTGTGTGGCCTGCTAGGCTGCCCTCCCTTGCATATTAAGGTTACATGCACCACAAGCCTAAGCCCAACGCAGGTTCCTCTGCTATCCTTATGCAAACTTTGAAAGCACTTTGCTCTGTCTCTACCAGTTTTCCTTGCCTTCTGTTCACTGAGGCTTCGGTGCTTTGCTAACACTATCCTTTCAGATCCCACTAATCTTCTAGATGCATCTTGAGTTCTGCATTTCTCATTGCATCTTGTGTGCGTGCACTTTCCAACCCTAGCTCACTGGAAAGCAACAAGTGCAGCTGCACACAATGTTCTGTAAAACTCCCTTTTCTTTCTTGCCAGCCATGTTTGCGATTCTACTGGCTTGGAATTTCCGGGTTTTATTACCTCCTGGAGCAGCCTTCTTTTACGGTATGATTTTATTCAACACATCTTGTCTTATTTTACCCTCACAGCCACACTGTGAATCCAGCTGAATGTTAAGTTTCTCCATTCAAGAGATAGGTAACCAGTTGCAAAAAGTGCATGCATGATAAGTCTCTTCAGTCATGTCTGACTGACTGTGAGCCTGTATGGACTGTAGCCCACCAGGCTCCTCTGTCCATGAGATTTTCCAGGCAAGAGTACTGGAGTGGGTTGCCATTTCCTCTACCAGGGGATCTTCCCAACCCAGGGACCGAACTCATGTCTCTTATGTCTCCTGCACTAGTAGGCAGGTTCTTTACCACTAGCACCACCTCGCACAGAGAGATTTAGGCAAAACCCCAAAGACACCCAGCAAGCCAGTGGACCAGCCCTGGATTCTCCAGTTTCTTAGCTGAAAGATGGTTTCCTTTGCCCACACCGGCTGAGACAGGGGTCTGGCCCCCCACCTGGTAAGGCTGGAGCAAAGAGCTTTATGGAAGACAATTTTTCCACAGACCAGGATGGGGGTGGGGGGGTAGGGGGGGTAAGGGGAGTGGGAGGGCGGGATGATTTGGGGATGATTCAAGTGTGTTACATTTATTGTGCACTTTTATTTCTATGATTATTGCATCAGCTCCACTTCAGGTCACCAGGCATTAGATCCCAGAGTTTGGGGACCCCTGCCTTAAAGTTCTGGAGGTCAGGTCCATAGTTCCCTCTCCTTTCTCCCAGGGAGGGAAATTTTGCATGGAGGAGACCTTGTCTAGAATTCCATCTCTCCGACTTTGCCGCCTGGAAGGAATGCCAATTCCTTTAACGCCAATAGGCAAGCTGTCCTCACCTGGTTTCAAAGGGGCCCCCTCTCAGGCAGGAGGGAGTGTGCTAGGCACTCGGGGCATAGAGGCTTCCGGGTCTTTCCCCTACCTCTCTCTCAGTCTCACACACATATTCAGGCACACACTCTACAAAGCACTCTAGGTCTTTCTCCCTCTCTCAGTGTGTGTCTGACTGTCACACAGACACACACACACTCAGAGTCACAGTGTTGGGCTCCGGACAGCCCTCTGCGATCAGAACACCCCTTCCCCTCCTCTCTCTCTAGGCTAACAACTCCTCAGTACCCATCCACTCGCCCAGCCTCAGCCCCGGGGTCACTCACCGTCCATCCTGCCCTCTCTGCCCTGCTCCAGGACGGTCCCCGACGGAGGGAGGCAGCGGGCCCCTACGAGCCGGCAAGGAACGGGGCTCTCCGGTGCTGGGCTGCTGGCGCGCGCCCTTGCCCCACAGTCCGGCGCTCGCAGGCCCTAGCCCAGAGCCGGGTCTTCCTCCCCTCGCCGCGCGGAGGAGAGCGGGCAGCGGCCGGGCTGGAAGGCTCCCGAGCCGCGCCGCTGCCCGCCCGGCTCTAGGCTCTACCGCCCGCTGCCGGCGGCCAGCCGCTCGCGCTCCCGGCCCGGGGGAGGGGGCTCGCGCCGGGCCGTGCGGTCGTCATGGCACCCGGCACACCTGCGTCGCCGCAGCGCCCCCTTGCCCGCGCGCCCGGTCCCCGGCCTCTTCCCAGATGTGGCTCCCTCCACAGGGACGGAGCACCCCTCCAAAGAAAAGGACAACCCACTGACCACTGCAGCCTTGGCTGCGACAGAACTCTGTCCCTCTCCCTGCGACCCCCATCCCAGAGCCTGGCCCCCAATCCTTGTCCTCGCCGCAGAGGAGTCTGACCCCCAGCCAACCACCCTGGGGGCCAGGACCCTGAGGCCCTCCTGAGAAGGGGATGAGAGGCAGCTGTCACACACCAAAAGGCGAGGAGAGCAAGGGGCAGTGTGTCGGCAGACAGTTAATTCCACGACTCTGGAATTAACTGGCCAGGCGCTCACCAGATGTCTACTCCTGGGCAAGGGTCTTACCTGCAGCTGAGCCTCAGTTTCTGCATTTGTGAAATTGTTTGAGAGAAGTAAATGAGATGATGTCAAAGTTTCTGCCCAGCATGTAGTAGATGCCCAATAAGTGGTCCCTTGGGCTGGATGGGAGGCCACCTCCCTCCCACCTTTCCAGTCCTGGTCAGGCACTACCATAGACTTTTGTCATTTGAATGAAGGTCCCAGGTTCCAGGCAGATGGAAGAGAGTGAATGGCCCATTCTTCCCTTTAGTGGGGATCTCTGGGGTTTATTCTGGAGGGACTCTGGGGAAACAATTTCCGCCAGGCCACTTCCTAGCCTCCCTTATCCCTCTAGCCCATTCTCTGACCCAAATGGCTGGAGGAGTCTCAGGACTGAAGGGGCCTTTAGAGGACACTGAGTATAACCCTGACCTGGGCAACTGTCTTGATCCTAATGGCCTGCAGTGGGTATCTCTGTCTTCATTCGCTCTGTCTTCCCCAGGACAGCCCTTCAGAGAGCCTGCAGGAGGGAGGGCGCCCTCTCAGGTCTGCCCTTCTGCAGGTGAAACATCTGAGTTTCTTTGGACTTTTGGCTTCCTGTGACTTGCCTCAATTTCATGTGTAAATGGGGATGACAGCCTATCTCCTAGAGTTGTGAAGATGAAAGAAGTTCCTCTGTGTAAAGCTCTTGGAATAGCACTTGACACAAGAGATCAATATAAGTTGGTTATATCATTACTATCTTGAGTCTACCTTCCTGAAGAAGTGCTCAAAGTTTCCCTGACAGTCAGGACCCAGAACTGAGACAGGTCTTATTGGGCCTTTTTGAGCAATGCAGAGTTCAGGAAATGGCTATAAAATCTGCATACTCCAGCACTGCCATTTATTTTATTTGTGACTTTGGGAAAGTTATATAACCTCATTGCACCTCAGTTTCCCTTCATTTACAAAATAGGGATGATAATAGCACCTGGTGGTGCTAAGTCATGTCCAACTCTTGCGACCCCACCAGGCCCCTCTGTCCATGGGATTTCCCAGGCAAGTATACTGGAGTGGGTTGCATTTCCTTCTCCAGGGGATCTTCCTGACCCAGGGATGGAACCCGCATCTCCTGCACTGCAGGCAGTCTGAGTCTACCATATAGTAAAGCACTTAAAACTGTGCCTGGCATAGTAGGTGCTAAATAAATGTGAGCTACATTTATTACGTGGGCTTTTAATACTTCGGTTTCACCTTTTTTGGTTCCTCCTTTTCCCCCTCACTTTCTTCTTTCTTTAGCAGCCGCATCATTTTAGTGCATTAAGGTAAGCTCATGATCAGTTCCCCCCAACTCACCCTCTTCTTGTTTTTTGAATGGTTCTGAATCAGAGCCACTTTCCCGACCTTCTCTCTCCTTGTCTACAGACTTCTTTCTTTCACCATCAGAATCTTTGTGCCATGCCCAAGGACAAGTGGTACCATTCAAAACAAACTCAGCAGTTCAGCCTCTGAGGGCCAAGCAGGGCAGTGCCATGGACAGAAAGACATGGGTGTGAATTCATTTTCCACCATTTATTACCCGTGCAGCCCTGTGTAAGTTGTTTAGGCGCTTTAACTTCATTTTCCACATCTTTAAAAAGGAATTTATCATCTTCTCAAGACTGCTGTGAGGATTAAAAGTCAAGGGCCACAGACCCAGTGTCCTTCCTTCTCCCCAAAGTTATGGGTGGAGGCAAAACAGATAGCTTGAGTAAAAGCCTTTCCATGCAAATTTTAAAAGTGTCACCTTCCACTCCCCTCCCTACTCCAAAGAGTCTCCCAGGAAACCTGCCCACCACTTCTCTGTTTCAGATCATGCCTCCTCCTAGGGTCACCTGACTGTCAGTCTAGGGTACTGCCAGCCTTGAACCTTCAACCAAGCAAAGCATCATCACTCTTATTTAACATGTGAACCACTGAGGTTAATGCCTTACCCGATAGGACACAGCTGGACAGTAGAGGAAAGAGAGCGCTCCTGTGGACTCCTAGGGCATTGGCTCTGTTGCCCTTCACCCTAGTCCACCTTCAAGGTTCTTGGTCATTTGGGAGCATCTGAGAAATTATGAGTGTGGCCACCCAAGGCTCAGAAGCAACCCCTGCTCCTTTGGGGAGCCCTTTGTCTTTCAGGGCTTCCCACTCTACCCATTCTGGTCAAGCCCTTCATTTCAGAGGCGCTGCTCCCCGTCCCATCCCACCCCCAATAGCTGTAGCTGGACCCCTGTGTTGTGTCCCCGGGAGTGTTCTAACCATCAGTTCCACCTTCCTGGGAACTGATGTTCATCTGAAAAGCTGGATGCCAGGAGGTGGCAGGGGGCCATGGGATTGAGAAGGCCCTTGAAGGGAGAAGAGCTTCCGGTGCTAACTGGAACCTGTGTGGACACCTGCTTGGAAAAGGGTCTGAAGGGAAGGGGGAGGGGATAGAGAGAGATCTTAAATCAAGCTTTCTGGGGGACACTGAGGGAAGTCAAAGAGGCAAGAGCCTGAGAAAGCAGTAACCATCAGCCACGGGAGGGACGGTTTAATGGGCTAGGTGAATGTGGGGGCTTGGCCAGCAGCCTGCCTGAGGTTCAGGCTGACAGTGCGCCATGTGTTAGCTTGTGTGATGCTGTGTCTGGGAGTCAAGAGCCTCCGGTTCCAGAGCAAGTTCTACTTACTGTGTAACCTCGAGCAAGTGGTTCAACCTCTCTGGGCATCAGCATGAAGAGGGAGATGGATTGGAAGAAAATCATTTGGTGATTGCTAATCTGGTCTCCCTTATGACAGAAAGTGAAGAAGAACTAAAAAGCCTCTTGATGAAAAAGTTGGCTTAAAGCTCAACATTCAGAAAACTAAGATCATGGCATCTGGTCCCATCACCTCATGGCAAATAGATGGGGAAATAGTGGAAACAGTGTCAGACTTTATTTTTTGGGGCTCCAAAATCACTGCAGATGATGATTGCAGCCATGAAATTAAAAGACGCTTACTCCTTGGAAGGAAAGTTATGACCAACCTAGATAGCATATTAAAAAGCAGAGACATTACTTTGCCAACAAAGGTCCGTCTAGTCAAGGCTATGGTTTTTCCAGTGGTCATGTATGGATGTGAGAGTTGGACTGTGAAGAAAGCTGAGCGCCGAGAAATTGATGCTTTTGAACTGTGGTGTTGAAGACTCTTGAGGGTCCCTTGGACTGCAAGGAGATCCAACCAGTCCATCGTAAAGGAGATCAGTCCTGGGTGTTCATTGGAAGGACTGATGTTGAAGCTGAAACTCCAATACTTTGGCCACCTCATGGGAAGAGTTGACTCATTGGAAAAGACCCTGGTGCTGGGAGGGATTGGGGACAGGAGGAGAAGTGGATGACAGAGGATGAGATGGCTGGATGGCATCCCCGACTCGATGGGCATGAGTTTGAGTAAACTCTGGGAGTTGGTGACGGACAGGGAGGCCTGGCATGCTGCGATTCATGGGGCTGCAAAGAGTCGGACATGACTGAGTGAGTGAACTGAACTGAACTGAATCTGGTCTCCCAGTCCTCGCATTCCTAGCTCCCAGTGAACAAAAGACGGGAAAGTTCTGCCTCTTTCCAAATCGGCTCATCATCCCTCCCATCCCTTGCTGTCTGTTCCTCCTGCTGTGCTGTCCTCCCAGGGAAAGACCCCCACCTGCACAGCCTGAACACTAACCAGGTGACAGACTCAGGGCCCTACGGGGGCTGGACAGGGGAGGCCAATGCATAAATGAATGTGGCCAACCGCGGCCACAAGGGTACTCCTGCCTGGCTTCTGCCACCCAGCTCCTGGAGATCACTGCCATCAGAATGTAGGCTGAGGGTTGCCAGTTTTTCTGATTTTTTCAGAAGCCAGAAACCCAGATATTTTTCATGAATTTCAGCTCTCAATTTTAAATGGTTGGGCAACTAACTCAAAATTACTTTTAAACATTGTGCAGGCCAAACAAAATACATCTGTGGACTGAATTCAGCTCAAGGCCCTTTTGCAAGTTCTTGAATCTCTACAGGCCAGTGGTTCTCAACCTTGGCTGCACATTAGAATCCTACATAGGAACTTACAAAAAAAAAATCACCAGTGCTGGGACCATAGTGCAGACAAATTGAATCAATTTTCTGGCAGGCAGGGCCTAGGAATCAGTACTTTTTCAAAACTTTCTGGGTGATTCTAATACATGGGCAAGGTGGAGACCCACTGCAGGCCCCTTCTTGGCTTTTCCCCTTCCACAAAGCTCTTGGTCTCATGGAGCTCACCATCAGCTATGGGGAGAAATGAATGAGTGAGTGAGTGAATGAATGAATGATCCCCTTGTCTGTGGTTCACCCAAATCATGAATCTATTTGTGCCCCTTCTGTAGACATCCAGGTACCTCCCAGAGTAAACCTAAATTCCTCCAGGGACTCCCTAGTGGTCCAGTGGTTAGGACTCTCTGCTTCCACTGCAGGGTCAATGGGTTCAATCCCTAGTCAGAGAATTAAGATTCTGCGAGGCCAGAAGACAAAACAAAACCTCCTCCATATGCCATACAAGCTCCTCACAACCTGCAGCCTCGAGTCCTACTGTTTCTCCCTTGATCACCCATACTTCCCTCAGCAAGCATCCCTGCTCTTCCTGTTTAAGTGCTCCATGCCTTTGCTGTGCTGTTCCCACTGCCTGGCTACCTCCTGATGTATCAGTCTTCATCTCTCCTCACCTGCCCATCAGCCAGTCCCTTGTCCCATCCTCTCTGCTCCCACATCTCTAGAGTAGCTATTAGACCAACCTTTCCCGGTAGGTCTCACCTTGGAGATTTTAAGCCCCACCCACTCCATGCTGAGGCCACACCCTATACCAATTACATCACCAGATAATAGTTTTTAAAGATCCCCAGGTGATTCTACTGTACAGCAAAGTTTGAGAATCACTGTCTTGATACTGAAGTACTATTTCCCTTCCCACACCTGTATGCCTAATTAGCCTATAACCACTCCTTCTCTGTCCCAACCAGGAGCAGAGATCCTTGGTTGTTTGCTGCCATACCCTAGCCTCCTTCCTTGGTGGGTGGGGTGCCTGAGACCTGTGCTGGCCTCTCCCGGGCAGCCCCTGTCCTCTAAGCATATAGAAGTGTGCTCTGAGATGCCCAAGGAAATTGGGAGGTGCCCACGCGGAGGGCTGACATGAGGCTGCAGAGTGCCCTGTAGGATGTCTCTCCAGTGGCAGGAAAGTCAGCATCTCCAGTGGGAGACTTGATCTCTCTCCCTGGCTGGAAATGCATCCAGGCCTTTGGGGTGAGGAAGGCCACTGGTGTTGCTACCATTTCGAAAAGGATCAGAATCCACAGGGGAGGGGAAGGGGGGGGCCTCAGCCTGGCGGCAACATGGCTCTCAGGAAACAGTAACACTGCCAGCATTTTCAGCATCTGTTTGGTGGTGGGGGCAGGACTAACCCTGTGAAGAGTGAGGCCAGGGGAGCTTCAGAGAGTCTGAGGTTTGGGCCAGAGTGGGCTCCCTTCCTGGGAGTCAGGAGGGGCCCCTCTCTCCTTCGCGAGCCAACACTTCCTTCAAATTGCTTTAAAATGCTAATTAATGAGCTCTCCCCAAGGAAGAGTTATTTGCATTTATAAAAGACAAGCCAAGGTGCTAATAGCTGACTCACTTCCCACAGCACAGCCAGGGTGGAAGGAGAGGCCAGAAGTGCCCAGCAGAAAAGCTCAGGACCCAGCAAGGACCCCAGAAAGAACCCAAGACCGGAGCCAGAAGCCTGAGCATTCTTCTGGGCTTTGCGCTGCATGTCGCTGGGTAAGGGCTCCACTTGCCCTCTGGAACACTCTCTCTGGAGCTCAGTGTTCCCATCTGTAAAGTGGGAGAGCTATGGACCAGAAGAACTTCCCACTCTGGGGTCTACCTTCTCTGAGAACCCAGGCTAAGGAGTCCCCTCAGGAGGAGGGGCTGGGGCCACACCAAGGAACTCCAGCTCTCTGGCTGGGGTCCTATGCCCTGAGGAGAGGGGGGTGGGTTGAAGCTTCTAGGTCAAGGCGGGGTCAGGTCAGCATCACAGGACCAGAGAAATAACGGCAAAGTGTTGAGGCCTTTTGGGAGAGGTGGGCAGCTCTCTGGGGGCAGCAGAGCCTCCTTCAGACAAGATAGAGCCTTTTGTAAACCATTTCCCAGGCCCTGGTCACCAATCCCTAGAAATATGGACTTGGTTTGGTTGCCCCACCAATTAATGTCTGACCTTGACCAGGTTCTCTTTCGTCTCCAGTTCTCAGTGTTCTACCTGGAAAATTGAAATTAAAACAGTAGCTTCTTCCCATGCTGTGGGGAAGTACTCTGCACAGTCACAGACATGTGGTGAGCTGCTGGTATGGATTTTCTTTTAGCTACTTTTCACCTCCTCTGTGTACCTCTGGTTCTTTCCTCTCCCCTCCAGCTGTGGATGGTTCACCATTCTTTACGAGAAACAGAGCAGGTGGTTCCGTTTGGTTCAGCTTGGTCCCGGGAATATTAACATCCTTGCAGGAGAATCAGTCATTAGAAAAGAGTACCTAAAACCTAGAGATGAGGCCAAAATGGTAACTGCATGTATGCATGAAGCTCTGTTTAAAGGGCTTGCCCATGAAATGTTCCCCTGTGACTCTGTCAGTTACCATTACTTAAGGGCAGAGATGCTGAGAGGTTACATGGTAATTTGTGGATTTGTGTCCAGTAGAAAAGAATGTCAACCCCAATGTTGGCTGTTTATTGCCTTGTAGAACACTGACCAGTGTTGCGTGTAACAGTGATCATATTCCAACATTACTTTTTCTTCCAGGATTATACAAATGTCCTGGGGGTCAGCTTTACTGTCTTGGTTCCCTCATTAACTAATGAGCTGAACAAAATCTTTGACACATGATCATCCTATCTTTATAAAAGTCATGCTTTTATCTTCTGAAAATTACACTTTGGCACTGCCTATGACAGGGACTTTGAAAATATGAGAGGGGATCTCAGAGTCATCAAAAGTCAAGCTTCTCAAACTTGAATATGCCCATGGATCATGTGAAAGTCGCTCAGTCATGTCTGACACTTTGCGACCCCATGGAATTCTCCAGGCCAGAATACTGGAGTGGGTAGCCTTTCTCTTCTCCAGAGGATCTTCTCAACCCAGGGATCGAATCCAGGTCTCCCACATTGCAGGCATTTCAGGTGGATTCTTTACCGGTTGAGCCACAAGGGAAGCCCTTATGAATCATGTTGGGGGAGAAGGGGTGGTGATGGTTAAAATACAGATTCTGGGCTGTAACAAGTTGCGAAGATTGGGGAAGGAGTATCCTCCTTCCCACTGAGCTCTCTAAGTTTCTGGCTTGGCCTGCTTAGGACACCCTTCTTTAGTGCTTAGTCTTTAGTTCAGTTGCTCAGTTGTGTTCAAATCTTTGCGACCCCATGAACCGCAGCACGCCAGGCCTCCCTGTCCATCACCAACTCCTGGAGTCCAACCAAACACATGTCCATTGAGTCGGTGATGCCATCCAACCATCTCATCCTTTATCATCCCCTTCTCCTCCTGCCCTCAATGTTTCCCAGCATCAGGGTCTTTTCAAATGAGTCAGCTCTTTGCATCAGGTGGCCAAAGTATTGGAGATTCAGCTTCAACATAAGTCCTTCCAATGAACACCCAGGACTGATCTCCTTTACGATGGACTGGTTGGATGTCCTTGCAGTCCAAGGGACTCTCAAGAGTCTTCTCCAACACCACAGTTCAAAAGCATCAATTTTTCGGCCCTCAGCTTTCTTTATAGTCCAACTCTCACATCCATACATGAGTACTGGAAAAACCATAGCCTTGACTAGACGGACCTTTGTTGACAAAGTAATGTCTCTGCTGTTTAATATGCTATCTAGGTTGGTTATAACTTTCCTTCCAAGGAGTAAGTGTCTTTTAATTTCATGGCTGCAATCATCATCTGCAGTGATTTTGGAGCCCAGAAAAATAAAGTCAGCCACTGTTTCCACTATTTCCCCATCTATTTGCCATGAAGTGATGGGACCAGATGCCATGATCTTAATTTTCTGAATGTTGAGCTTTAAGCCAACTTTTTCTCTCTTCTTTCACTTTCATCAAGAGGCTCTTTAGTTCTTCACTTTCTGCCATAAGGGTGGTGTCATCTGCATATCTGAGGTTATTGATATTTCTCCCAGCAATCTTGATTCCAGCTTGGGCTTCCTTCAGCCCAGCATTTCTCATGATGTACTCTGCATATAAGTTAAATAAGCAGGGTGACAATATACAGCCTTGATGTACTCCTTTTCCTATTTGGAACCAGTCTGTTGTTCCATGTCCAGTTCTAACTGTTGCTTCCTGACCTGCATACAGGTTTCTCAAGAGGCAGGTCAGGTGGTCTGGCCTTCCCATCTCTTTCAGAATTTTCCACATTTTATTGTGATCCAAACAGTCAAAGGCTTTGGCATAGTCAATAAAGCAGAAATAGGTGTTTTTCTGGAACTCTCTTGCTTTTTCTATGATCCAGCGGATGTTGGCAATTTGCTCTGTGGTTCCTCTGCCTTTTCTGAAACCAGCTAAAACATCTGGAAGTTCACGGTTCACGTATTGCTGAAGCCTGGCTTGGAGAATTTTAAGTATCACTTTACTAGCGTGTGAGATGAGTGCAAATGTGCGGTAGTTTGAGCATTCTTTGGCATTGCCTTTCTTTCCAGTCCTGTGGCCACTACTGAGTTTTCCTAATTTGCTGACATATTGAGTGCAGCACTTGTACATCATCCTCTTTCACTATTTGAAACAGCTCAACTGGAATTCCATCACCTCCACTAGCTTTGTTCCTAGTGATGCTTTCTAAGGCCCACTTGACTTCACATTCCAGGATGTCTGGCTCTAGGTGAGTGATCACACCACCGTGATTATCTGGGTTGTGAAGATCTTTTTTGTATAGTTCTTCTGTGTATTCTTGCCACCTCTTCTTAACATCTTCTGCTTCTGTTAGGTCTCTACGATTTCTGTCCTTTATTGAGCCCATCTTTGTATGAAATGTTCCTTTGGTATCTCTAATTTTCTTGAAGAGATCTCTAGTCTTTCCCATTCTGTTGTTTTCCTCTATTTCTTTGCATTGATCACTAAGGAAGGCTTTCTTTTTTTTTTTTCCATTTATTTTTATTAGTTGGAGGCTAATTACTTTACATCATTGCAGTGGTTTTTGTCATACATTGAAATGAATTAGCCATGGATTTACATGTATTCCCCATCCCGGTCCCCCCTCCCACCTCCCTCTCCACCCGATCCCTCTGGGTCTTCCCAGTGCACCAGGCCCGAGCACTTGTCTCATGCACCCAACCTGGGCTGATGATCTGTTTCACCCTAGATAATATACATGTTTCGATGCTGTTCTCTTGAAACATCCCACCCTCGCCTTCTCCCAGAGTCCACAAGTCTGTTCTATATATCTGAGTCTCTTTTTCTGTTTTGCATATAGGGTTATCGTTACCATCTTTCTAAATTCCATATATATGTGTTAGTATACTGTAATGGTCTTTATCTTTCTGGCTTACTTCGCTCTGTATAATGGGCTCCAGTTTCATCCATCTCATTAGAACTGATTCAAATGAATTCTTTTTAATGGCTGAGTAATATTCCATGGTGTATATGTTAAGGAAGGCTTTCTTATCTCTCCTTGCAATTCTTTGGAGCTCTGCATTCAAATGGGTATATCTTTCCTTTTCTCCTTTGCCTTTTGCTTCCTTTCTTTTCACAGCTATTTGTAAGGCCTCCTCAGACAGCCATTTTGCTTTTTTGCATTTCTTTTTCTTGGGGATGGTCTTGATCCCTGTCTCCTGTTCAA